ATTTTATAACTGTAATAATTCAACTGTAAACCTAAAAATTTACAGCCAATTTTGAAAGAGAAGCATCTTAGCTCTGCAAATTGTTATTGAATTCGTCAGTGCTGTTGTAATGAAATGCCTCTTCTAATTATATGGTTATGAAATAAATAATTTAAAATATTTTTTTATTATTTTTATATGTATGAGTGTATTCCTGCATGTAAGTGCACCTGTGAAGTGCCCGTGAGATCAGAAGAGGGCATTGGATCCCTGGAACTGGAGTTACTGATGGTTGTTAACTGCCATCTGGGTGCTAGGAATCAAAACTGGGTCCTCTGAGAGAACAGTCAGTGCTTTTAACTGCTGAACCATCTCTCCAGCCCAAGAATATGGTTTTTAACGCAGTTCTTTTTGTCCTTAGAACATATTCAACTAATGATGTGTAGAGTCAGAGCACTTTCTTCAAACATCACTTGAAAAAGTATATTCTTTGTGAGACTCTATTCCTCTCTTTTTAAAAAATATTTTATTTATTATTTTTATTTTATGTGTATGTATGTTATGCCTGCATGTAAGTGCACCCATGTGCTGCAATGCCCGCAGAGGACAGAAGAGGCCGTTGGATCCCCTGGAACTGGAGTTACAGATAGTTGTTAGTTGCCATGTAGGTGCTGGGATTCGAGCCCAGGTCTTCTGCAAGAACAACCAGTGTTCTTAACCACTGAGCCTTCTCTCCAGACCCTTCCTCCCTTTTTAATGCAGTTTTCATGTTAGCATTTTCCTTTCTGATTTAATTCAATACTTGAATATGTAAAGCATTTATAAGGTTCACAAATGTGAGATTAGAGACTAGGAGTATAATTAAGCAATAAAGCACTTGAAGACCTGGGTTCTATCCCCAGCATAGCAACAAATCAAAATGAAACTGTAGCTCCTTACCGCTTTAGTCGCTTTCAGGTGAATTCCAGGATCTCTGTCATTTACTTGCCATGTATGGCCTTTCCAGATTTGACCTCTGCCCCCCTCTCCAGCCTCACCTTTCACTTTTTTGTTGCTGGGAACAGAACCCAAGGTCTTATGCATACTTAACATGTGCACTCTTGCCATTGAGCTATGCTATCAGCCCTTCACATTCCTGTGTTCTAGCAACAATGGATGCCTAGCACCACTGTGCACTCACTGCGTATCCTGTTCCAGGTTCCTCTACTTGAAGTAACTGCCCATCTGACTAATTTCTCTCCAAAGCAGGGAGAATGCTGGAAGCCATCAGTCTCCCAAAATGTATTCTCAAAAATTGGGGCCTTTTGGGGATGGAAAGATGGCTCAGTGGTTAAGAGCACTGGCTCCTCTTGCAGGGGACCCAGGTTTGGTTCCCAGCACCCACATGGCAGCTAACAACTGTTAGTAACTCCAGTTCCTGGGGATCTGATGCCCTCTCTGGCCTCTGCAGGCATACATGTACCTGGTGCACTTATATGCATGTAGGCAAAACTTTCATATACATAAAATAAAAATAAACACAATTTTGAAAATTGGGGCCTTTTTAGAAAATTTTTTTATTTACTTTCAATGTGTATAAATGAATTGCCTGCATGCATGTAAGTGCACTTGTGTCGTGCAATGCCCACAAGTCAGAAGAGGGTGTGGGATTCCCTGGAACTGGAGTTACAGATGATTGTTAGCTGCTATGTGGGTACTGGGATTCAAACTTGGGTCCTCTGCAAGAGTAGACAGTTCTCTTAACTGCTGAGCCATCTCTCCAGCCTCCTTTTTGAAAAATCTGAAGTATGCAGTAAACTGATATAACAAATTATTATACCTAAATGAACAAACTTGAGGAAGCAAGTAGAGATTAAGATTAGGAGACATCTAGGACTAGTGGTATAGGCATGTAAGCTCAGCTTTCAAGAGCATTACAAGTTCAAGTTCATTACAAGTTGCCTAGGCAACTTAGAGAGGCCTTGTCCTCAAAATGTAAAACAATGGGTTGGGGAGATGGTTCATAGGGTAAAGGCTCTTGCTGCCAAGCCTGATGACATGAGTTGAATCCCTGAGAGCCACATGGTGGAAAGAACTTACTCCCACAAGTTCTCTGATCTTCATAGGTACCTACACACACACACACACACACACACACACACACACACACGTAAAAAAAGAAAAATTTAAAGTGCAAGTAGTAGGGAGAAGTTGGTGGTATAGCTCAGTGGTCAAGTGCCTAATATGTGACAGGTTGTAGGCTCAACTTTCAGTACTCAACAGCAAAACAAAACAAAAAAATGGGAAGACTGGTGATGAAATAGATGGCTTTTTTTTGCTTTCCCATCCAGCAGTCAGGAAGGCTGCAATCCAGGGGCCAGATCTACCAACACTGCTGGTACCTGTGAACCAAAGTTCCCAGAAAAACTGCATCTTGAAACTGAACATTCCATAAAGGCTGATCAACTGATTAGAACTTCAGTGGTTGTGGAGAATTGGAATGTTGCAGGTCCAGAGCCTAATTACCACTTGTCTTGGGCCATCTTTAGCCCCCTAAATTGCCACCCTTGCCCACCTTCGTTGCTGACTTAACATCCAGTGACTAACACAAACCTTTTGGAATGTATTAACTTGGCTGACCACCCGGTCCCATCAATCAAAAAGCTAAGAATGTCACCAGATAGCACCAGAGACCTATAGTAAAAATCCCCCACCTTTGCCATGCCTACTGAATGTATCCACCATGTATTTGAAATGTCTTGATTTATGACTTTTGTTCTGTTACTATAAAAGCTCTGTTAAACTATTACTATGTTGGAACATGGAATTTGGGGTAACCTGAATCTGTGTTCCTGGACCATGGCCACTCATATTTGGCTCCAGAATAAACTCTCTCACCTTTGAGGTGAGTTATGCTTTCTCACTGATACACCTAAAGATTTCTGTAACACAATTCGGGTATTCTACCTTCTAAAACTCCGTCCACTCCCCTAAATTAGTATCACCTCCTTCAAATTTCCCAAATCCTGTGCTAAAATCGTCTGCAGGCAAGATACCGACTAAGGGCCAGCACCGACCACTGTCTAACAAGCAGCTGAAAATCTACAGAATAAAGAACTAAATGACCAAAATTCTTCCACTTGATCTTAGCAAAGCTCAGAGTTTATTTTCCCTTTCATCAGCCCTTCCCTGGCCACGCCCACTTCCGCTTGGGTGATGCCCCTTCCGTGAGGAAGTTCCACCCCATCGTTCCCCTGTCACCTCCTGCCCCTTTCGCTTAAGAACAGCAGACAAGAGAGTTTGGCGCCAACGAGATCTTTTTCCTCCATTCCAAAGGCGGGAACTGGTTGTGAGCGCCCAGACGTGCCTTGCGTCTAATCTGATTGGTCGTGGACGCTCGGTCCCGCCTTCGCGTCCTGACGGCGCTTTACAATTGGTGGAGACCGCGGAGAGTCCTGGGTGTGCAGAAGGAGCCGGCGGCAGGCCTGGCCGGGCTGTGCGGGCCGGGCCGGGCTGAGCGGGCCGGACCGCGCGGGTAAGTTCCTGCGGCCCAGCGCGGGGAGCCGGCTGCGTGGTGCGGCTTCATCCTCAACGGGCCGGGAGTCTGGGAGGCCGTGGGCGTTGATCTGCGGCGGCCAGGGAGATGTGCGAAGGGCCTGACGTCGGCCGCAGGTAGTGGGCTCCCGGGTCTGGGGGGCCCCGGCCTGGAGGGGTCCCTCGGAGGGCCTGGGAGGAGCATCGCCCTCCCCGTTGGCCCGCCTCTCCCCCAGCGTGTCGACTGGTCCGTACTCTTCAAAGCTTTAGCTGTCGTTCTGGAGTGTCAGGCGCTCACTGACGTGGGCTCTTCCGAAGCTGCTACCGTGAGTTTTTTATGCTGGTCTCTACTGCACCTAGAACCATCCCTACTGACTAGAGTGTGCATGTACAAAGTGCAGTATCTCAGCATTTGGGTTTCAGAATCAGGTTGGTTTTGACTGATTGTTCGACTTCTCCCTGGTCTTTTCTGCTGTCTTCACAACGCCAGCAGCAGACCTTTAGCCTCTCTGCAAGGCCTGTTCCCCATATCCCCGGCGCCTCTTAGGGAGGGCAAGAATTTTTTCATCCATTTCCACCCGCTCAGATTATTTTCTCATAGTTTTTCCTGCCATTTTACAGGAGATGGCCTTTAAAAATAGCCAACAATTTTTATAGTTTAAGGAATATTCTTGATTTTTGTCATCTTGCTGGGGTTTAATCCCATCTCTCCATTTACCAGCTGTTTGCCTTGGGCAGATTTCCTAATTGGCTGTGTCATTTTCCTCATGTTAAATGGGATAAAGAATAGTGTGGGCCCATTTCAGGATGTTTTAAAGTAAACGAATACTTTAGAGTATTTAAGTCAGTACCTGACACAGTAAATGTGTAATATGTGTTGCTTAGAGCGTAGAACTAGACTCTGTCTTTTATTTAGCTTTTTTTCCTATTTTTTCTCTACAAATTCTAGATTTAAAAAATACAAACTTTAGACTTCCTCTAAGATATTGACCAATCAAAAAAGACCAGATGGGTGGTAGACGCCTTAAGTCCCAGCATTCAGGAGGCAGAGGCAGGTGGAACTTTGTGAGATCAAGGCCAGCCTGGTCTATACAGTGAATTCCAGGCCAGCTGTGGGGCTACAGGGAGACCCTGTTTCAAAAAGGCAAAACAAATCTCTCACCTGTGCATAAGCACACTTATAAGTTCTTTAACAGCTCTTTTTGGTGCTAAGGATTGGCATGTTCCAGGCCCTTGAGTGTGCCATACTATCACTGTGCAACATTCCTAGCCTGACAACTGTTTTTACTCATTAGGTTCTCAGCCTTAAAAATTTCACCTCCACACTTTTCACAGACACACTTCTGTCTATAGTAACTCATTATATCTTAAGATCTTAAAATTGGAAAAGATGAGAGGAAGTATTAAAAAGTCTCTTTTGGGGAAATATTTTAATACAGAGTATACTTCTCTTGCTTTTTGTGGGTGAGTCCAGGAGAATCACTGACCTTTGTGACTTTTAAATGTGTCACCAAGATGCTGATGAGTTCCAAACATAGTACCTACTGTGGTCTCTCTTTTTACGTAAATCTGTTGGAGGGTTCTCTTTCCAGGTCTGTTAGACAGTGTCATTTGGTTGTCATGCAGGTAATTCATATCTTTATTTCTCTATTGCCATTGAAGACAAGCCTTCTACCATATCAGCTAGAAACTCCGGAATCGTCTTTGATAAATTTGGAATTTCATAACTCAACAAATGATTATTTTATTACTTATCAATTCCCAGGCATGTACTAAGAGCTGAGGATACAGGTGAACAGAACGGAGACAATCCTTGTCTTTATGGATCTTAATGTCAGTAAGGTGGCTATTTCAGGACTCCCACAAAAAGTGTAATATTTAACTGTGGAAAGAAGTCATGTAGGAAAAGGACACAATAGTGTAAGAATACAAAACAGTTCATGATGCAGTGGGGAGAGAGAGAGTGGCTAGGGGAGACTTAACATTACTTAAGTCAGCGTATCAGAGTTAAATGATGGTAGAGTGTTGAGCAGACAGCATCTTTCAGAGTCCTGAGTGTAAGAAAACAAGCAGCATGTTCACACAAGAGGAAAAAGCCAGTATAACAGAGCATAGACTGCTGAGGAATGGGGGTGAATCACAAAAAGCACCAGTTCAGTGGGTACAGGCCAGGTCTTACAGGATCTTAGGGGCAGAATTGTTATAAGATTTGTTTTTTATCGTAAGATTAGCAAGAACCACTGAAAGGCTTTAAGCAGAAGAGAGAACATGGTCAGTTTTGCATTGTGAAAAGGGAGCCCGGGGTGGTGAGATGGCTCAGTGGGTAAAGGCACCTGCCACCAAAGCCTGACAACCTGATTTCCATCCCATGGATCCACATGGTAGAAGGAGAGAACCAGTTCTCCGCAACCATGCACATGCTCATAAATAATTACAAATATAATTGTTTTTTAGAAAAAGACAGTACAGCTGGGTGTGGTAGCCCATGCCTTTAATTCCAGCACTGGGGAGGAAGAGGCAGGTGGAGATCTGTGAGATCAAGGCCAGGCTGGTCCACATAGAGAGTTCCAGTTCTAAAACCTTACATTTACTTATTTATTTTTATTTTTCGTGTTTAGCCTGTAGGTATATAAGTGTACTTACCTCATGCACCACCTACAGAGGCCATAAGAAGATGTTGGATACCCTTGTATGGGCAGTTTTTAGCTGCCATGCTGCTGCTGGGATCTGAACCCAGGTCCTCTGGAAGAGAAGCTTGTGCTCTAACACTGAGCCATCTCTCCAGCCCCCTCAAACCTTACATTCTAATCTTGCTTTCACACATTGTAATCTGTGAGTATTCCTATACCTGGACTTGTTTGCAAACTCATAGGTAGATTTGGTAGGAGCAAATTTGGTATCTGTAGTAGGGGCCTAAAACAATTGAAATAGCAGTAAATGGGACAAATGCTGCAGGTAACATCAATAGGCTGTTAGAGAATGTTAATGTTACTTCAAGAAATAGAGATGTCAGGTGGTGAGCAGGTATTGATAAAACGATGTCTTTTTGTTTTGGACTTGCTGGGTTTTTTCTTATAGTAGGAATGCATTATCTTCAGCATCTTATTACTGACTATTGGTTTATATTAGTACAGGCAGTTCCTAATTTTCAGGTACTTCGAGGAGGAGACAAGATTATTACCCTTACCTTTGTGGCAGTACTTGGCTTTTATCCCTTTTCCTCTTGTGTTCCATGCAAGTTTCTCCCATCAGCAGTTGAATCCAGGGATAACTTATGTTAGTATAGTTAATTTGAGATGAGATTAATATCTAAATTCATAATCTTAGGAAACTACTCAGATATATTTAAGTGTTCAAAGGTACTTGTAGTTAGGTGTTACCTACATTGTAATGGCCAAAGCTCTGTGAAATTCTTTAGATGCTACTTTTCCATGGAAGATGGAGACTGAATAGGCTTTGAGTGAGGCCACCAGATCCCTCATAAAAGATGCAATAGATTGATGGGAGGACTAAGGAAGGATTGAGGGAGGTAAGCATCAGAGATTATATAGATGTAGAGGCAGTCATAGATTTTATCTGAAAGCTCTCTGGGCTGAATGAATGGCTCTGGTTTGTTTTTGTTTTTTTGCCTAAAAGGAACAAACCAGGCTTAAGCCCTTTTCAGACAAAGTCCGTCTATACTGAGACTAGAGGAAGAATGGAGGGTAAAGACATTACTTGCAAGCCCAGATTCTTTTTCTGGGCTTGCTGCATTCAGCTATGCTGGTGTGCTTTGGATAGTACTATTACTGTGCACATTACTCGTTTTTATTGTAATAGATGTTCTAAACACAGTATGTTCAGTGTGTTGATGGAATAAAGGAACAGGGATTAACTTTGTAGTGCTGAAGGTTGAACCAAGAGCCTTGTTCTTACTAGGCAAGTTAGTGTTCTCACTGAGTTAATATCCCCAGTGGTACAAAATTTTAGTATCCTGTGAATACCTGTGAATATCATGTGAACATATTTTATTTGTTATATTGACATTTTCTGATTTCTTAATGTCTGAGCTAATTAGCATTGTATAAATATGTGCTATGAGAGCAACAGAATTTCTTATATGGTTGAATGAAGTAGATTGGGGACAGTGTGACATAGTTCAAAAGTACTGATAGCCATTTCTGGAAAGACTGAGTTTGATGCTAGGGAAGCTTAACTGTTATTTTTGTTTTTTTATTTTAATTATCATGAAACAAGCTAGACATCACAGGTTGACTTTGGCTTCCTTGTAGAAAATGGTAAGACAAAAAGGGTTTTATTAGTTTGGAAACTTTAGGAGGTAGCCCTGGCTGGTCTGGAACTGATCTTGTAGACCAGGCTGGCCTCAAACTGAAAAGGATCTGCCTTCCTCTGCCTCCCGAGTGCTGGGATTAAAGGTGTGCACCACCACGTCCAGCCCTTTAATTATTTTTATTTTATATGTATGGGTGTATTGTCTGCGTATAGGTAGGTGCACCCATGTTGTACAATTCCCTTGGTGGTCAGAAGAGGTCGTTGGATTCCCCTGGAACTGGAGTTAAGGACAGTTGGTAGCTGCCATGTGGGTGCTGGGAATCGAACCCAGGTCCTCTGCAAAACAACCAGTGCTCTTTTTTTTGTTTTTTAATGTGTATGCGTGTATTGCCTGCATGTAGGTAAGTGCACCTGTGTTGTGCAATGCCCACAGAGGACAGAAGAGGCTGTTGGATCCCCTGGAACTGGAGTTACAGACAGTTGTTAGCTGCCATGTGGATGCTGGGATATGAACCCAGGTCTTCTGCAAGAACAACCAGTGTTCTTAAATGCTGAGCCATCTCTCTAGCCCCCTACTTTTACAATAATTTAAGAAATAATGACATCTGAAACTGGGACAATAGCTGGACTCTAGAGTAATGGATTCAGGATTTGCTTTCAGGTATTTTGATAGCTCTTGGGAGTGGTTAGAATCAGTGTCAAAGGCTTTGAGATAACTGAGGGGTTGCTGAGGTGTATGTATGACCTGAGGAATGCACACTGGAAACCTTTACCCAGCATGGGTCATGCCTTCTCTTCCTAGCCTTCCCCAGATTGTATACTTTAGCCCTCCCCAAATCCAGGAGGCCATATGTGATTAGGGCCAAATTACATACAGTTGGCTGGGAAGAATGGCTGCATAATGCAGTGAGGGTCCAGTGACCCTGCTTGGCCCTCCTTTAATGAATGACCACAACTGTCAACAAGCTAAATTGTGATGATGTTTAGCGATTGGGCTCAGCTGAAGTCGTGATGATGGTAGTTATTTCATGCAGAAGGGCCTGCTGTATAGCAT